CTGTTAGCTACTATTCTTATTATTTATACAGTTTTAGAACAAAATACTGTCTTATTAAAGGCTTTTTCTAATGTTTTGCTTGTACTGTCATACGTCACTTAACCACAGGGATACGTTCTGAGAAATGTATCATTAGGTGATCTTGTTATTGTGCCAACATCATAGAGTGCACTTACACAAACCTAGATGGCATAGTCTACTGCACAGCTAGGCTGTATGGTACAGCCTATTGGTCCTAGGCTACAACCCTGTATAGCATTACTGTACTGAATACTGTAAGCAATTATAACATAATGGTAAATATCTGTGTAGCTAAACATATCTAAACACAGAAAAGGTACAGTAAAAATAAGGTATTATAATCTTATGAGATCACTGTTGCATACACAGTCTGTCACTGACTGAAACATTGTTATGCGAAGAATCACTGTATAATAGTGTATTCAAAGGTACAACAGTTGTAACCTGGATTACTTGATTTTAGTTGTTCTCTATTTATATTGAACATAGCTAGAATATTATAAATTGATACTTTTTTACATTTCTAGAGTGACATTGGAGCACTATTATCAGCTATAAATGCTGAGTGAATATCCTCTTCTTGCGTTCTTTGTCATGATGATCTAAAGGATGTTACATTTTAGGCTCAAATAAATGATTGGTCTTTATTAAGTCTTTTTGTGACCTTAGTTCTGTCCCTTCTCTCTCCCTCTTAAAGCCACAGGTTATAATTAATCAAATCATTAAATTAATGTGTTCATAATATAGTTTTCTAAATTATTTATTAAAGTAACATTTTGTTTTTAATGACATTATTAAGTAAATATTCCCTTAGCATGTACATAGTGTAGTATTTTTAGACTTATTGTAAGTCTTTAGCCTTTTTTTCAGATAATACAGAAAACTATAAAGCAGAAAATTATAGTCAACCATAACTTCTGTAACCAAGTTTAAATTTGGAAATATATTTTCCCCAAACTTAAAAAAAATTCTCTGTGTATGTCTTCTTATAGTAAGGGTATTTTCATTAAGAAATATAGATATGCATATTTTTAATATCTGCATAATATTCTGTTGTACTAATCTATTACAATTTATTTAATGGATTTCCCCTTGATAGATATTTGTCTTTAGTTTTTTGTTTTTTAATTCAGGGAACATCCTTGTAAATAATCTTTGGGTGTGTTCATGGTTATATACTTAGGGTAAATTTCTATTAGAATAGAATTTGAATTGCTAATCCAAACATTATGCTCATTTTTGAGGCTTCTGATAACATTTTTGTATTGTCCTACCAAAGACTTGTATCGTTTTACTCTTCTATCTTGGCCTATATGATAGATGAAAATTGGAATCTAATATTTTTCTTTAAGATTATATTCTTTAAGCCTGAGAAACTTTGGGCAAACTTAACTATCAAAATCTGTTGACAGTTAAACCAGATGTGATAAGCATTGTGACAGTTTATATTTGAGTTTATAATATTTTGATTTGTGGTGTTCAACTAAATACGGAACAGTTAAAATTAAACAGACTTTAGAAAGATTTTAGTTCCTTCATCTGGATGGGGAAGGGAAGTGGATGACCAGATGGTAAAAATTTTTTATATGGCATGAAATTTTTATTTTTATGAACCTAATGACAAATTAGGCCAGATAAATAATGCTTAAGTCTGAAATACACAATAACTAACTGCATATGCAGTTATATCACACTTAAAACTATTTGTTAGGAAATAGGTTTGGCATTTTTCTCAGATAAAATGAGTTCTTTTTTATGCTTTTATTATGGACAAGTTTAGAATACCAGGACTCACACAATAGCCTCTTACATACTCACATAACCATAGGTCACCTTCCAAGTACCACATTTGATGACCTTTTAACTGTTTCCTCTTGGCTTCTCAGTAGTAATCAAAACTGTTGTCTATACCATTTCTTCTTAAAATTCTCTCTTCTGGCTTTTGCAGTTCATTCCTCTCCAGAGACTCTTTCAACCCTCTGACCACCCTGTCTCATTTATTCTCTAGAATTACATCTTCAACCCTTTTTTAAAATTCTTTTGCCATATTCTAGTTTGGGAAATTTTATTGATACACATAAATTCTACCATCACTACAAGCTGATGATTCCTAGATCTGAGTTTCTAATCTTAACTTTCCTTGTAAACTCATAAAACTCTTGGTTCTTCTTTCCTGACAGATATAGAAAAGAGGAGGGTCCATCACTAGTCTTTCTTTTCTCAAGTTCATTTTCCAGTTATCTTTCTGAAAACATGCCTAACCAATCACTAATCTGACTCAAAAATCTTCTCAGTATTCCTAAGAGCTAGAAAATTTATCAAGGTATTACCCACCTGGTC